CTTAGTAAGCAATCTTTATGAATGTATCTATCAGTAAAAAGAAGCATATTAAAGAATAATGTTTGTAGACAAAGAACAGAGAATCTTACCTTGACGCCCGGTCTTGCTGCAAAGGAACAACAAAAGTTTGATTAAGTATTGCTGAAGTTGTCATTTAACATAAACAAAAACGCACCAGAACATATGGTAACACTTTAGTTTAGGGTCCAATTCTCACTATTAGTTGCTTATTAACATGCATATTGCTAGGATATTGGCTGTGTATTAGTAGCCTACTTATAAAGCACATATTAATGCCTTATTCGGCATGATCATATTCTACATCCCATAATAGTAGTACAACTACCTTACAAACTATTAATAAGAAATAATTAGGAGTTTAGCCTACTCAGGCAGAAGTCATAGTTAATAGTGTGAATTGGACCCTAAACTAAAGTGTGACCAAAATATCGTCATTTGTGTTTCCAAGATGAAAGAAAGTCTGTTGGGTGTGGAATGACATGATGGGGACTAAACGATGACAGAATTTGGTTAAACGTTATTACTATGGTCTATATATATATTATCTGCAAATGATAATTTTGCTGGAAGTGAATCAATCAAAACTAACTTTAGCTGGAAATAACATTATTAAAAAAATCGCTATAAAGCCAAAACAATCTCTGTTACCGTAAATTGTATGTTTATCTCTGTAAAGCTGCTTTGAAACAATCTCCATTGTTAAAAGCGCCATTTAAATGAAGATGACTTGACTTGACTTGCAAGACCATAATAAAAAATATATGGGCAACACTTTACAATAAGGTTCATTAGTTAACATTAGTTAACTACATTAGTTAACATGAACTGCTAATGAACTGCATGTATACAGCATTTATTAATCTTTGTTTATGTTAATTTCAACATTTACTAATACTTCATTACAATCTTGTTAACATTAGTGAATGCTAAATACAATGAAATACAACTGAAATACAATGAACAGCTGTATTTTTATGAACTAACGTTAACAAAGATTAACGAATACAGTAGCAAATGGATTGCTCATGGTTAGTTCATGTTAGTTAATACATTCACTAATGAATGAACCTTATTGTGAAGTGTTACCAATATATGTTTCTTAAAATTTGAAGTACAGTAGTCCACTACAAGTGTACATTTAATACAAGTAAGTGCTCTTCTTTTTTCACAGGGCCAGGTTTGTTTTGCATTGCATTGATCTAATCACTTATCTGAATACCAAAGCTATTTGATGTGGACAAATTGGATGATTGGATGATTATCCGACCGGCCTGATCAGATCACAGTGACTGCGTGTTACATGAACAGAAGAGTTTTTAGGTGTGACTGAACATGATTGAGCTGGAACAGCAGGACAGACCGAGTCTGCTAGACCTCTTAGTCTGTCAATGGGAATCTGCCATGCAAAATCCTGGAGCAAGAGTATGATATCATGCCGTCGCAAACTTGCCGTGCATATGTGTGTCTTCATAAAAATAGCATTATGTTGCAGAGTGTTTTTTATTACACCCACTTCCAACTCCAGTTAACAATGACTGCACAAAAAAGTTAATTTAAGGAGGATTTGTTCTCTAATAAATGTTCTATTGTAATACATTTGTACCCGATAAAGAATACTTTCCTACATTTTCCTTGAATAAGCCATAAATCAGTTTGTGTTTATGGGAGCTAATCTTGTAGACAGTAAATATTCTGAAAGAATATTTAATAAACTTCCATTTTAGGAGCATGTTGTAGATAGTAGCATATCGTAAACATCACAACTTGGATGACCTTTCGTCCCAACTGAGGATGTGCATAGATGGTAAAAGACTCGTGTAAAGGTCTGACAGTCCAAGCAGAAACATCCATAACAAAGATGGGAGGCTACAACTACAAGCCACTCATAATTTAAAGTAGTTAAACTACTGTCGAACTACACGGCGGGTGCAGATTCCACACGGGTCTGGTAATATGTGGAGTCGTTGAGTCCAGAGAGAAAGCCAGAGAAATAATCTCCTCTGTTCCTCTGCTAAAGACAGCACATCCTGTTTGGACACTTGATTATGCACCAGAGAGGAATAACAGTCCACTGTCTCCACTGTCTGAGGGGGACCATCCGAACAACACCAAAAAAGGACATGCATGAATCAGTCACTACAGCCGGACAGAGTTTGGCAGAGAAAACGAAGAGCTTTTCATGCACTCGCAAAACTAATTACAGCAAATGAAATCTGTTAAATGGGATGGTGCTGTGACTGCAGGAGCTTTGAGACACTTTTCACACTCTCATTAGTTTAATGTGTCCACTAACAATGTCCAACAGTGTGTATGTGTACAGTACGTCACCAGAGAATTCTGTCATTTTTGTCTTTTTTTTTTATCTGACAGTCATGATCATTCCTCAGAAAAATTCCTCGTAAAATTCCTCGTAAAAGTTTTTTTTTTTTTTTTTTTTTACTTGCAAATAATATATTAATTTTAAAAAAACGCCACACGAACTTAACACCTAACCCTAACCCAGGGGTCGGCAAGTTCGGTCCTAGAGAGCCGCTGTCCTGCAGAGTTTGGCTCCAACGCTAAAAAAAACCTCTCCTGCCTATAACAGCCTTAGTAATCCTGAAGACATTGATTAGCTTGTTCAGGTGTGTTTGATTAGGGTTGGAACTAAATTTTGCAGGACAGCGGCTCTCTAGGACCGAACTTGCCTACCCCCGCCCTAACCGAAGTCAACAACTAATGAGAGTTAGTTGACATGTAGATGACAAGATACTTATAGTTAGTAGAATGTCTAAATTGGACCATCGAAATAAAATGTAATAATATATAAAATATTTTATGAAAATTGAAAAAGTGTAAAACAACAAAATCTAAACAGATAGGACATATAAAAAGTAGATAAATGATAAAGGAATGGTAAAAAAAAAAAAAATATCAAAACATACAGAGAAAAAAAATTGGAATTTAGAACACGTTTTGGAACCAACCTAAAGGAGCCCATTTAGTTGAAGAAATACATTTAAATGATGTACAAGCATATGTGACCGTGAGAGAATCTCGCTGATCGTAACTGCGTATGTTATTTTCTGGCATGATTCTGTAGTGCTTTTTACAGGGAAATAAACAGATGGATGAGAGCAAGGCCACGAGCCACTGGAGAGACGGGTCCATCTGAATGTTTAGGCAGTGTTTCAGAGACATCTCTCCTTATGTGGCTATAGCACATCGACTTGCCCTCCAACCATGTCACGGTTAACACATGAGGACAAACAGAGCTTGACCTGCCGCACTGACTTACAATAACTGTTGTAATATCCGTAGCTGCTTTGTGTTTTACTGGCAATCATTATGATTTCTCAAAGTGAGGCAAGATGTCTTATTCAAGTGTTTACATGTAGCCACAACAACAAAAAAACTATCTGAAACGTTTACAATGTGTGCTGGTGGTCTTGTTTAGTTCTGTGTAGTCAGGTTAAGTGTATGTTCTGGTGGTCTTGTTCTCATGTCTGGTCTTTCTGGGATCTGAGGTCATCGTTATGCAGAACAAAATAGGACAGTTTTTTGGAGGGATATAGGCATCCTTTGTTGGTCCAGAACAACATTCCTATGAAACAACTCTCAGTCTCAACGTACAATCAGAGAGAATTTAAATGTTAATAAGAGTGTTGTTCAAGGCCCATAACCTTATCCTTATCCTCCAAATCCTATCGGTTAATAGGAGTGTTGTTCCAAGAACATGTCCTACTTAGGTAAATCACGTTAAACTGCAGGTTTAAAGTCCTCGGGGGGCATCATTACCCATGAGCACCTGCTGGCCCTGAGCTCACTCACTGTGTCTACAGAGAGAAAGAGAGTGCACACTTTCACCACAGTAAACCATGTAAGGCAGTGCTGATGCACATTCCATCCTGCAAGTAAAAATAACACTCAATCAGATGAATGGGAATGGCCTCTTCAACACAAATACAAGCATGCTAAAGAGAACAGACGCTAGCTCACGGTTTCATTATCAAACTCACACGAGTCAATTATACAACCACTTTTTTTGTGGTCCATCTTGTGTAATCCTAATTGTTACAATCAATTTTAAAGTCTATTTAAACTTTTTCGAATATAGATTAGGAATATAAAGTGACAAATAGTATGTTCTCTCAGTCTATTGGAAAGCACTTGAGAATTTTCTGAAGGCTGATTATTTTGTAATAAAATTGTAGTTACTGAAATGCTGTTGGGATGTTCCCTATGAACTGAGAATTCTATCTATTATGAATGTTTTAGTATATTAACTTTGTAAATACAATCTGTGTTTCACATATTTTGCATTTTGTCCTGGTTGTGTGTGATAGATAACTAGGCATTGTTTTGTCATGTCTATTATTATTTTTGCGTTGTATTATTTGTTTCCCTACCACTATAAATGGTTTTATTTTATTTCATTTAATTTCATTATTTCATTGTATTATTTCATTTAATAAAAAATAAAATAATAATAATTTTACATACAAATGTGTTGCCACTAAATTATAATTTTTTTACTTCCATTTTTTGGTTATCTTAATATGATCTTTTTCATTTTTGTTTATGAGAAACCTTCTGTATTATTTTTATTACTATAACTTTTATTATCATAACATTTTTCATATTATTGGGTATCATAGTGAATGTCATTATTATATACTACCGTAATTCCTCAAATAAAGACCGGTATTCAAATAAACGCCGGGCCTCTGATAGTGGCCGGGGGCGTGGTCAGCGCGGACAAATAAAGGCCGGTCTCAAATTAAGGCCGGGGAAAAAAATAGTGTGAATAGGTACACTTTAAATGAGTGTACACTCAAAGACGGACGCGCTCAGCGCTTGTCATATATCACAACTATTCAGTGTTTTTAACCACATGTTTATTTTAGGTTTCAGACATTTAAATAGATATGATTTATAGCAAAACAATAAATTTATAGTTTGTAAAATACACAATGGTGTCTATGGAAGCAGCAATAACAATCCATTCAAATATATTTGGCGACGTGTTTTTTATTCATATCAGATACACAGTGTAAGTAACTATAAAGTTTACTCTATTCTTCTCCCAGTTCACCGGCCACTTAC